AGCAAATTGTATAGCATCATTATTTTTTGTGGAACATTCATATCAAACAAATTGTATAGTATCATTATTTTTTATGAAACATTTATTAGGAGATGAAATGAAAGTTTTACTGGAGTCTTAAAATGTTTTTAATGTTTGGTTGTAAAGATGATATTAACACTAACATATTAAACTTTATGGTGTAGATCGTTCTTTTTAATTATTCGCGCATCACGCGGGTACTAATACTAGTATATATTAAAGCAAGAAAGTTTACATTGTGGTTAAGCCAAATGGCAAGCTACTATAAAGCCACTTGGCAATCTTAAATAGTTTGTGGGAGATTGTCAAATAAGAAAATATCACTTAAGAACTATATATGGAATTTCATTTATTGAAATAATAATTTTTTTAAAAAATAAAAATAAAGTTCAAGCACTGTACTAATATTTTATAACTGAAATTTTTTATTTGAAAAGTAAAGATTTTTGATATAAGAGAGCTTTTTGAATTATTACGAGAAACAACATATTATATGGATAGTATCACGCAATTGAAAACATAATTTATAAACCTAAAATTTAAAACATTTACAATGAAATAACACCAAGCAACAAATTAAAAATATAAAGATGTAATTAAAATTGTCATGTAGTTAAGTTATAAAAAAATTAAAGTCAAAACTCTATACGGAAAACAAAAAGAAAAAAATTAATTGCTTATTGCACATAATACTAAATAATAATTACTAAAAGTGTAGATTTATGGAAAATAATAAAAGAACTTCTTCGTTTAAACTTTGGCATATTTTCAAAAGAATTAGAAAAATATTACGAAAATATTATAGATACAACACGAATCTATATATATATTAAAGCAAGAAAGTTTACATTGTGGTTAAGCCAAATGACAAGCTACTATAAAGTCACTTGGCAATTTTAAAGAGTTTGTGGGAGATTGTCAAATAAGGAAATATCACTTAAGAACTATATATGGAATTTCATTTATTGAAATTAAATTGAAATAATAATTTTTTTTAAAAAAAAATAAAGTTCAATCACTGTACTAATATTTTATAACTGAAATTTTTTATTTGAAAAGTAAAGAATTTTGATATAAGAGAGCTTTTTGAATTATTACGAGAAACAACATATTATATGGATAGTATCACGCAATTGAAAACATAATTTATAAACCTAAAATTTAAAACATTTACAATGAAATAACACCAAGCAACAAATTAAAAATATAAAGATGTAATTAAAATTGTCATGTAGTTAAGTTATAAAAAAAATTAAAGTCAAAACTCTATACGGAAAACAAAAAGAAAAAAATTAATTGCTTATTGCACATAATACTAAATAATAATTACTAAAAGTGTAGATTTATGGAAAATAATAAAAGAACTTCTTCGTTTAAACTTTGGCATATTTTCAAAAGAATTAGAAAAATATTACGAAAATATTATAGATACAACACGAATCTATATATATATATATATTAAAGCAAGAAAGTTTACATTGTGGTTAAGCCAAATGACAAGCTACTATAAAGCCACTTGGCAATCTTAAAGAGTTTGTGGGAGATTGTCAAATAAGGAAATATCACTTAAGAACTATATATGGAATTTAAAGTCAAACTTTCATATAAATGAAATAATTATATAAAATTTTATAATAGGGGAAATAATATAGAAGGGGGAGGGGGTATAAAGACAGTGTGGGTAAATTGATACTTTTAATTAATTTAAAAATAAATCTATATCTCTTGCTCAATTAGCATTTCAGTTTTGAGAATCAAGATGTGTGATGTATGTGATTTGGAGTCGAATACTTTTAAAATGATTCTCAGAAAGAGAATGGTCATATTAATGCAGTTCGATTCTATCAATTTTAAAGCAACTCCAATAATATTGGAATGGAGTTGATCAACCATAAAATTACACAAGAATAAAGGAACTGATGACATACATTTCTGTGGGGATAATATTTTAAACTATGAACCGACTCAGACATCGTCCGAATAAATGCCAATTGTGTTGCCTTACGATAAAATTAATTATCCAATATTTTATAATTTATTTTATATCTCAATTGTTTGGAAGCAATACATACATTTTTTTATTTATTTTTCTATTAGTGCTAGCAGTTGCTATGCTAAAATAGATAAGAAGGGAGGATAGATTCTTCTCTAATGGCTCAGGTACAGACAATGACATTTTAGCTCATTGTTGATATTTATGTTCTCTCAAATTGTAAGATTCTTCTCTAATGGCTCAGGTATAGACAATGACTTTTTAGCTCATTGTTGATATTTACGTTCTCTCAAATTGTATGAGTCAATTGATCGAGCAACCGATGTGGTCGATATATATATATATATATATATATA